TCGTTTAAGATTTACCATCTAAAAGGTGAAGGAATCAAGAAGATTCTGATTTGAATATAATACTTTGAGTCTAAATAAAACACATGATCATCTACAACAAATAAGACACTATTACAGAAACTGCCATAATTATTAGTCGTGATGTGCTTCAACTCGTTCTCTCCATCGATTCTCTCGTGCTTCTTCTTTTCTGTGATTCTTTCATTTTTTTTTGTTTCTTATCAAGTATGTGATGCGGCTCTTCTCGTCATGACATACGCTCGAGGCATGCTTCGCTCTTTGTTCTTTTGGTATTCAGATTGATATCTTGTTTCGTTCTTGTAGAACATACACGAAATAAGATTAATCACAGAAACAAAAAAGAGAACAATGTAACGTTTTGTAGTGAAAATAGATACAGTGAAACTTATAAGTTAGGTCTCTAACGTCCTCTTCCATCGCTCAAAAACTTCAAAAACAAGTTTTTCAGAAATTTCTTCACGTTCTTTATCAGGTGGACTTATCAAAAAAAGGATTTAAAAAAACTCTTTTCTCTGTTATTCCCTAGTTTTCTGGAAAACCAATACTTGCAAGGCCTAGCGGCACAAACCAAGGTGAGATTCGGATTCAGGATCATCGATTACCTGTGGTCCACCACCTTTCATGTCTAAAGCGATTTATCAGTTGGGGATCATTCCTCGTCAGACTCCACGAGAATATCTCTCTTTTCCAACAGAAATTTCTCTCTCTCTCTTAATAACGTTTCCTACCTTCTTGTACTTGTTAGCCCAGCTTTCGTTTCCTGCTTTATCCATACTGACCTTATTCAGCTATTCTGCTGATCGGTTATCTAATACAGCTTATACTCAGAATCTGCAGAAACCTTTAAACGAAATATTACCCAGAATAGATCAGTTGAACAATTACATAATATAAATATACCTCATAGTAAACATAAACAGCAAGTAACTGATATAAATTATGTATTCGCGGTACTAGCTCACGGCCAAATTTCCAAAATTCTCAGAAATCGCATGTTTTTGTATTTTAATTTTTTCTCTTTCGTTGTGAGCTTTACAAATTTTAAGCTATATATCACTGGGAAGTGCTGAAAAACTGAACAAAACAGAAAAACTCGAAAGATTTGTCGAGTGTTAGCTGCGAAATCCAGTATTGGAAAAAATTCAGTTGATTGAAATTCTGAACGTCGGAAAACTCGTCTTTTTTCGTTAAAACTGTTTTCACGAAGTCAGACCAAGTTGTTCCAAAAATTCAACAAGCCTATCTTGTAGAGCAGATAATTCTTTACATAATGAACTATTTGACATTGAAAAGAAACCTGGACAAAGTGGACATCTGACCTGATTTCTCAGCTGGAATTTCTCTCTTCCGAGCAGAATTTCTCCCCATCCACAGGAATTTCTCTAATGATCAAAAGACGAAACTCAGAGTCCACGAGAATTTCTCTCTTTCCACGGGAACTTCTCTGTTCGCAGAATTTCTCGAGAGGCTATCTGGAATTTCTCTCATCCAAGGAGAATTTCTGTCCATTCACAGAAATTTTTCAGTCAAAAGCGTGTCATAAGCTAATACTTTTGATAAGGACGTCATTTGACAAAAGTGACCAGTCCTTCGAAAGTAACTATATTCCATGAACCATTAAATGCTGACATTTGAAAGTTATATCATAAATAAAAGACAGTCATGGTTATATTGTGATGTAAAAATACAGTGTTGATTAGGAGTTATTAGCGTTCTAGAGCAATAAAATAGAATTCTTATTTCATGCTGACCATAAAATCAAATAGGCTTAGTCCGTCCTCGTCTGGGAGAGGAAGTAACTATTTATTAGATAAATCATGGATTTAATTTTGTATGATTAAAGAAATCGATGTTTTGTATTCATATTTTTACGTGAACAATTGATTTCATTATCTAAAGCCAAGTACTCTAGTTAAAAAAGTTTCATAATGTTTAGAAAAACTGATGCTTTTTTCATCAGTCTGCTGAGTGCCAAAAACTTCCATGAGAATTTCTTTCTTACGTAACAGGAGTTTCTACCTTACCTAACAGCATTTTATTTCCTCCCACGGGAATTTCTCTCATACATAACAGGATTTTCTCTCTTTCCACGAGAACTTCTATCCTTTCACAGGAATTTCTTTAGTAGTCAAAACAAGGAATTAAGAACATATTCTCTGTTTTAATTATCTCATCATTCTAACGCATAAGTGATCAGGCAGAGAAAACGGTGCCGCTTTGTAAAACTTTCTTCGGTTATGTCTCAAAAGAGATACTTTTTTACAAACTCACACTCAGTCTTTAATGTTTCCTCTGATGTTGTTTGATCTTACAAAACCCATTAGAACGAATTTGTATCTCTTTTGAGAAGTTTCGCTCTCTTCTTAAATTGAACTTAATTGGAAAATTTTGTTTTAACGTCAAAAGATAGAATTTTGTCTAACTTTATCCATGTGTTGTTTTGGAAATAAGTGTGCTCTGTTCTTTTGCAACAGTAAAAGTATTAGAAGCCATGAAAATCTCAGCTGCACAACTACAAAATCAGAAAAATTCGAAATGCGAATCATAGAAATACATGTGATAATATTTTTAGACTAAAAAATTTAGACGACTAAAACAATATAACAATTCCGCTATCTTGTCTCCAGTACAAATATTCTCTTCTGTCTAATTCATTTTTCCAATTTTTTAGTATACTCTGATCATCACTTGCTTAACAGACTCATTCAACAGGATTGTCTGATCAGTGAAAAAAGGGTAAACATGACTGTGTATGTCACTTTCTTTTTGTCTTTTTTCTGTATCAGTACGCTTTAATTATATAGCTAAATAAAAGCGCTGATCATTTTGTCGTCTTTTTATGGTTGGAGCTAAAGAGCATTCATTCGTAGAGGTATACGTAGACCAGTGAAGTCGGGAAGGTAGATAGTTGAGATATATTTGCGCAAAAACCACTTTGCTGTGGAAAAATCAAAATTACAAAGGCAGATGCATGTTATAGCCTCCGATGTCGTCAAAATCGGGAAGAAAATTGTGTGCACTTCTAAGCAGAATTTTTTGCTGATTAATCGGGATTTTCGGAAAAGTCATCGATAAATCTCGATTAAGCGCCCTTATTGCTGAAATCGTGTGTTTTTTAGAAAAATCAACCATTACCTGCGGTTTCAGCAATAATGGTACTTAATCGAGATTTATCGATGACTTTTCCGAAAATCCCAATGAATCAGCAAAACATTCTGCTTAAAAACGCGCTTAAGCACACGATGTAAAGAAATGGAAGGATGACTGGAGTCATACTTTCATGACTTCAGAGGATCCCCCAAAACAATTTTTTACGCAAGAAATTCGGTGTAAACTGCAATTTTTGGTGGAAAACTAGAGCGAAAAATTTCTTTTTCATGACCTGGAATCCAGGTGAATCCAGATCCTGGATGAAACTGAAATATCTTATTAGACCCAAATTTGATCCATGAGTGGATCCGACTCGCTTCGATATCCCTGTCTTCTGCTGAGAAGCAAGATTAAATAGTTATGTTTTTATATATCTGACATACGCGTTTTCTAGGTTATTTACGTACAGTTAAATTTTTTTCACAAGAAAAAGAATAATAAAAGCAAAAGTTAACAAGATGGCAGAAATTGCGCCAATTTTATATAGAACTATTGATGGTGTCAATGATAATTTTTAATTTTTTACATTTTTACATTTTAAATTTTTTTCTTTTCTGATGTACATGTTTCCGCATTCTTTGTTGACTATTTTTTAAAAACAGATCACTTGTTCTTCAATCTAAAGTCTGGGTTTCTTTGCCAGTAATTAAGGTATACATTAAGTGAATTAGAATTCGTTGGTATTTTTTCTGAAAACTTTCTTTGCATCTTGTAGATTTAGTTCACATTAAGAAACTAGCATTACGTGGCAAATGAACTTGTTGTCAAGCTGTCTGAAAATTTTCTTTTTAGTCGTACAATTTTTTGGACGATACACATTTTAATTATCAATGGATGCCGAGACACGGCATAATTTCACTGAAGCGTGCCATTTGAAATATGAATTAAATCGAATATATCCTACGAATTATATAAGTGAATGTATCAATCATTTGTGTTCAAATCAACAATTAGACCCAATGGGTTTCGGCTTAATGCTACCCAATTTAGCTAGCGTGTTGTGCAATAATTCAACAGTTTTACGTGATAATCAATTTCGATCTGCTATCAATATTTTTTCAGTATTAGTAGCCTGCCCAAGTAAGTGTTCTTTATTTTAAGACATCTTTTGTTTCCAAACTTCTTCAAATTCTTGCCATAATCGTAATATACATTTCATCTCATTTTTTAAAATCATTATCGAAACATTCAAAAACTAAGATTTCCCTCCTCCAATCCCTATGAACGATATTCAAAGCCTCCAAAATAAAACCTTCTGTTCAATTGGCAGTCAATAAACGAATATTTCATTGCGATATTTATTTTATAGCATATGGAAAATCCTCACTGTTTTCAATATTTCGAAAAGCAATTAATTTTGTAAAAAAAATACGACCAAAAAAGTTTTATAATGAATCTACCAAAATGACATTTGTGATCGTTGATGAATTTTCAGATGCGGGTATTCTAAACCATTTAGATCGGTCAACAAAATGGCTGCTTTTTGATGAAGCAGACGATCAGTTTGACAATATCGGATTAATTAAACAACAAAAAGGAAAAAAATCAAAAAGCGCAAATCCGTTCGATTGTCGTAGTCTTATGATGCAGTTGTGGAATGGACCAGACGATTATACAAAAGTATTAAGTGCTGAACTTCAACAGTTAGAATCGGCTCGAGTTATTCTTACTGGAGCATCAACTGGTGAGATGATACAAACCGTAAATTCACCACGACGACCAAAAACAGAAACTGAAAATAAAGTCGATCCAATGATTGAAAGAATAATGTTTTTCGCACTCGCATCTGAACTTCGTTTAACATCCGAAAGAACAAAATTATTCAATTTTTCAACATACCCATCACTGGAACAATTAGCACTAGTATTAAGTTTTCTTGAAAATGTAGTGTTGATGTTTGACGATGATGCGAACAAACGTGTGAATGACTACGGTGATGAATTGTTCAAACAAGGTATTCGTGTAGAAGAAAAACTGCTCCTTTCTTTTTCATTGCTGAAATTTTATTTTAGCTAATTCCACCTTAAATCAACATCTCCAATGTAGACTGACAAAAACGCATTCTCAAATTTTACGGTATGTACTTTATTTATAGAGTTGTCATATTTTTTAATGATAGTAGTCTGTAGAATATTCATTGTGCCTTCGCAGCATGGGTATACTGATGAATACATAATTTAAAAAGTAATATAAACTCATTTTTGACTTACGTATTTATCTGCTGGTAAATCCAGTAATATCTATAGAAAAACTTTCAATGCATGTTTTATAGCATCGTTCTAAAATATGCTTTATGAAAAGGTAAATCCAATCCGTCAGCCAGCTAAACTTTCTGGTTATCTAAGACGCAAATGTAATTTGCATGTGTGCACCATAAAAGAAAATGCGATTAACTCAGAGATGTCCATTGCACGTAAAACTTCCAAATTTGAACTTTAGCCATGTTGTGCGCTGGAAATGAGGATACTTTATTAACAGTTTACCTACGCGAGATAATGTGGGAATGAGACTATGTGACGGAAATAACTTAATCCCTATAGACCTTTTGTTATACAAGAGATCATCGCAAAACAGCATAACCGCAGACTTCACAGATCCGTAGAATTTATAATTTGCACAATAATATAATTTCCGATCTTAAGAATCTAAGAAGTAAGCATAAATTCTAAACCTTCATACATTCTACAAATTCAAACCGTCATGAATTCTATCAACCCATAAATTAATAAATTCTAAACCTTCATAAATCAAACAAATCCACAGCGTCATGAATTCTATAAATTCATAAATTGATAAGTTCTGAAAGTTTATAAATTCCACAAATCCAAAGCGTCATGAATTCTATAAATTAATAAATTAATAAATTCTAAACGTTCATAAATTAAACAAATCCACAGCGTCATGAATTCTATAAATTCATAAATTGATAAGTTCTCAAAGTTTATAAGTTCTACAATTCCAGAGCGTCATGAATTCTATAAATTAATAAATTCATAAATTGATAAGTTCTGAAAGTTTATAAATTCCACAAATCCAAAGCTTCATGAATTCTATAAATTAATAAATTCATAAATTGATAAGTTCTGAAAGTTTATAAATTCCACAAATCCAACGCGTCATGAATTCTATAAATTCATAAATTAATAAATTCTAAACGTTCATAAATTAAACAAATCCACGGCGTCATGAATTCTATAAATTCATAAATTGATAAGTTCTGAAAGTTTATAAATTCCACAAATCCAAAGCGTCATGAATTCTATAAATTCATAAATTAATAAATTCTAAACGTTCATAAATTAAACAAATCCACAGCGTCATGAATTCTATAAATTCATAAATTGATCAGTTCTGAAACTTTATAAGTTCTACAATTCCAGAGCCTCATGAATTCTATAAATTCATAAATTAATAAATTCTAAACGTTCATAAATTAAACAAATCCACGGCGTCATGAATTCTATAAATTCATAAATTAATAAATTCTAAACGTTCATAACTTAAACAAATCCACGGCGTCATGAATTCTATAAATTCATAAATTGATAAGTTCTGAAAGTTTATAAATTCCACAAATCCAAAGCTTCATGAATTCTATAAATTCATAAATTAATAAATTCTAAACGTTCATAAGTTAAACAAATCCACGGCGTCATGAATTCTATAAATTAATAAATTCATAAATTGATAAGTTCTGAAAGTTTATAAGTTCTACAATCCCAGAGCGTCATGAATTCTATAAATTAATAAATTAATAAATTCTAAACGTTCATAAATTAAACAAATCCACAGCGTCATGAATTCTATAAATTAATAAATTAGTAAATTGTAAACGTTCATAAATTAAAGAAATCCACAGCGTCATGAATTTTATAAACTAATAAAGTAATAAATTCTAAACCTTCGTAAATTCTGCAAATCCAGAGCGTCGTGAATTCTATAAACTGATAAATTCTAAAAGGTCAGAAATTCTCCAAATTCTAAACCTTCATAAATTCCACAAGTTCAAATCGTTGTGAATTCTATAAATTAGTAAATTAATAAGTTCTAGAACTTCATAAATTAAACAGTAAATTGGTGAATTCTAAAAGCTGAGAAATTTCTTTAAATTCTGAAATTTCATTAATTTCACAAATTCATAGGGGCATGAGTTCTATAAAGTCGTAAATTCATAAGTTCTAAAATGTGATTAATACAGAAGTATCCGTTGCGTAGATCACCCCAGAACTGCATAACCGTTTAGTTTACAAATCTGTGTAGTTTACGATTTGTACAAATTTATGATTTCAGACCTTAACAGTCTAAGAATTTGGGATAAATTCTAAACCTTCATAAATTCTGAATATTCGTAACGGGATAAATTGTATAAATTCTAGAAGTGCATAAATGCTAGAAGTTCATAGCGTTATGAATTCTATAAATTAATAAATTAATAAGTTCTAAAAGGTCATAAATTCATTAATGCTAAAAATGATGCGTAAATTATCAGGTTATAAACTCATTACTTTATTCGACTGCCGGGCGTGAAGGGGTCCAATGATGTGTAGTTGACATTGAGTAGGTTGTGTTGGGTAGGAGATTTTTTGTACCTATCGAGAGGTAAACTTATGAGACGGCTGTGTTCACCGCTGAACCACACAGGCACATTAGTTATTAGTATTATTAGCAGAAGACACATCGCTGAAGTCGCATTGTTTTTTAGAGTGTAGCTACAATTTATAAAAAGATATTTTTGCTATTTTTTAGTTATATTAGTTCCGTTACGCTTATTGAATGTGCATTTGATGTTTTGAAACTTTATCGCGAAGCAAATTTAACATTTGATATGAGAGCAACTACAAATGAACAGTTTACGGAAAGCGTTGAAAGGTTGATTAAAGAAAACTATGGTAAAAAAATTAATAACTCGGCAATAACATCAGTAACAACAACTACCACATTAACACATTTAAATCCACAAAAGAACGACTGCTTGATTGTAAATTTAGCTATAGTTGAAAGTGCAATCTATTTGATTGAAATGAATTTAAAACAATACACAACTTTATTTAATTGTGAAAGCAGATCATCAGCACCATTACAATCAACAGTAACAACTACTCAATTAGTATCATCATCGACCTCACTAACTCCAGCAATAGGAGATAATACATTACAACAAGTTTATCGTGATATTTTACAATTTTCTTCAATTGCATTTACAAAAACTAATTTATATGAAAATTCGTTTCTGAAAAGAAACAATAAATTGATTGGTCTTGCTCTGGCTCATCTTGCTGATATTGAAAAACTATTATTGCATTATCCAAGTGGGGGATTTAATGGCCTTACATCTGTAAAAATTTATGTTAAAATGTTGCCAATCAGAGAAACAGCAGCAGAAATTATTGATTACGATACAAAATTAAATAAATATGGTTTAGACTATGACCGTTTTAAAAAGTCATGTAATATGTTAACATTTTTTCGTGATAATAATAAAATGAAACTTAAACTAGAAGCATATAGACAAATAACAAGTAATGTATACACTACAGTCTTACAACAGGATACTCTAGAATTTTTATATACACCACCGGACTTAACTGAATCAAAATCAAAACTTACAACAAATAACGACCATGATGATCAAAGTGTTTTATTAGCAACAGTACATACGCAACCCGATCCACGTTTACAATCACAATCGACCACTTTGCTATTATCAGCAGCACCACAACCCACAGTGATACCACGTCAACAACCCGATACATTACTAATCTCTCAACCGCCAAATGCTGGTAAGAAACCGCATAAAAAGAATAAAATTTTCTATTTTCATTCAATTGTAGCTGAAACAACTACCGATGGAACGATGTTACAAGGTGCTCCCACAGATGAAGATGATTTTATTGACAGTAGCGGTAAAACGAATTTGACTTTTTAATATGCTTTTTTCTTAGAGAAACGTTATCTGGAAAATTCTTGCTTTTTTTAGTTCTCCCATTAACAGCTTTAAATGGAAAACAAAGTTACAATGTTTCAATGACAGATCTTTCTAAAGATGGTAAAGGGTTTTGTGCTTTATAATACTATGTAAAAAGCTCATATCGAAAAACAAAATAAGCATATTTTGTGTTTCTGACTTTCATATGCCTGGTTGGGATTTTCTTTGATGAGAAAAGCTTCTCAAAATATTTTTTTGTTTTTTATCTAGACGAAACTTCGTGCATGTCAATTCAATCTAAAGATGGTGAGACAGAAAGTAATGTTAATGATCATACAATACAAGGGTCATCAACAGTTTTATCCAATGTAGCTACTCACGCTAGTCAAGATGATGGTATATCTTCACGAACACGACATAAACAGTATCGAAGAAAATAAAAATTTCTATAGCATGTGTGGCCGATGAATAACATACTTTTTTAACAGTAATATCAGTACATTATTTTCAAAATATCTGCAATCATCCACATATTTATGCGTTTTTCTGAATATCAGAAACCACTTATTTTTCTTCGAAAAAATGTTGCTGTCTCGTTTTTTTATAATATTTTTTCTGTCATGTTGTTAAAAGTTAGAATTCGAAATAAAAGTAAAGAATCGTGTTAATGTTTTGTTTTTTATTGGTGCAAGTAGCAAAACCGGCTTGACCAAAACCCATGCTTAACAGACAAAGCGAGATACGTCTGATCTGCTTTCTTTGTTCAGTTCTTGTAGATGGCTACATCTGCAAGCATGAGCTCCGATGATAGTTACACAAATGATATGTTAGATCTGATAGCAAGTTTATTAAAATATATGAAACTCGAACACGTTTATACAGCTGGTGAATTAGATAGAGTGTTGCCAATTGAATTGCATGACAAAAATAATCATATCACTACCATCATAAATCAACATTATCAAACCAATTATAAAGACCAAGATGTTTCACTTGTTTTATCTTTATTGAAAAGTTCGTGTTTACCAAAATTAAGTTCAACAACAAACATACGTAAAATATTGAATAAATATACTAGTAATCTAAACAATTTATTATTAAATATTCGCTGTAGTCATTATAATTATATACAATTAATACCATTCATAGGAGTGAGTTACTCTGAATTTTATGTTAGTATTTCTTCCAACGTTATGATTGTTTCGAGATTTATGTAGCAGAAGTGATAGATTTTCATGTAAAATGCTCTTAAATTTTTCAGGCATGTTATGTGTGTAGTAGAAATCTTCTACCGTCAATAACAAGTAAAAATATAAAACTTTTTGCAACTAATGGATTAATTGAACCAGCCACATTACATTTTAATCAATGTACACATTCGAAGACACTACAGAAAGAGGAAGAAATGATACAAATCTATCCGAAATTTGTAAAGAAAAGTAATATTTTAACTGTTACACCAGCTAGTTTTGAAAACGTACGTAGTTTTTAAACAAAAGGTTTTGGAAGTGAAAAACTACCACATACATTTTGATGATAAAAGAATTCTTAAATTTCAGACCGATTATATCTATTTTGGTGGTGAGTACGGGTATGAAAAATCATATCTATTAAATTTAGAATGTAATATAATTTCAACAAAAGCATCGTTTGAGAAGTTCACTGATGCATTTAATTTACAATCCTTTCAATCGAGAACAACAGCTGATACAACCAATGTTAAATCAGATCGACGACGGCTTATGCAAATACTATTCGTGTATGAAATTATCAAATTTAAATTTTTTATGGGATATACCAGCGTAGATATACCATCAAAAACTAAATTAACAACAACAGATGATTTTATTTATTCTCAGTTTGAACAATGTTATCAAGAATTTGTCTTTTTCTGGTCTTATCATCGTTCATTCAAACCGTGTCCATCATTGTGTTCCGTAGCAGCTGTTGTCGATGGTCACCAAAAATTTCGTAGACGAATCTGCAAAAAGAAAGATATTAATATAAAAACAAATGAATTCGATGAAATTACAGTCGGATGCTCCCATACACCACTGTTCAGAAGTCAATACTGTGAACAACATCAACCTGATGATACGCAAATATCCTCATCAGTTACCTCAGTTGTTGGTAATTACTTAAAAAATCTTTCGTTTGTCAAAAACTAAATTTTTCTATCTTTGCAGCACAATATGAGACGAGCGGTAGAGGCACGGACCAGGAATTTGATGATAATTCAAGTAGTGATGATGAACAAATGGATATGGATGATGCTCGACGAAATGACAAGGGTAACAAAACAAGTTACAGACTTTCTTGCATGATTCGACTGCTTAAGAGACTGTTCGCACACGTATAAAGCATAACTCATAAGCGCCCGTAATACGATCAAAAATCAAATTTAATCTGAAGAATTTGAATATTCTTTATCATTAACTTATGACTTTGACTATTTAAAAATACCTGTCGTGTTCAATCTTTTCGTGCTGCTGTACTTATGAGTAACTAAGAATTCTAAAATAGAGAACAAAATAAGAAAAAGTTACGATAAGAGTCGATTTTTCGATTGCTTTATGGGACTTCTTGCAAAAAAATCCATAACTCACTCATTTTTAAGTTCTAACGTCTAAAAGCTTGGATTTATCAGTAATCCTGAACGCTCTATTTAATGAGATGATCTCATTGAAATTACAGAAAGGCATGTTCATTTCTGATCGCATTACGCTTTCTCAACAGCCTGATGAACCGTCTCTTAAACCAGACTGTCGTGAAACCTTATCTTATTTTCTCGTAGTGAGCTTACACTTTCCTCTCGTATATTAAAATAATGAGCAGTCTAATTTGTTTTATTGCTGCTAAATTTATTTCTTTAATATCCCATGTTGAAACGTTCAACACTAAACTTAAATCATTTCCAACCTTTCGAAGTCTAGAGATAAATTGACTTCTACTTTTAAAACTAAGTTCATAGTTGTTCCTCCTTCTTCTAGACAATTCTCAATTAGCGTCTATTTTAACAACAAGAAATAGTGTTACGAGAGCAGGTAAACCGTACAAAAAAGAAAAGTACAGTTTTCATGCACCAACATCATGCCGAACATTAAAACAAAGACCATCAACGTATGTGGAAAAATGTCTTAGAAGCTTTGGTTTAATAGCTGTTGTTACCAATTGCAAAATAATTATTGGTTTCTGTGAAATTTATCGTTCAGAAACGTTAAAAGAAATAATAAATGTTTTTATGAAAATGATAAAAATTTCAAAAAATTTACCCAATAATATCATTTAGGATGACGGCTGCAATCTAGTCAAATATTTCAAGAATAATCTTGGAAAAATAATAAAAAAAACGCCAGAAAGTGAATATTTTCATAATTGTACATTTTCTCTCGATCGTCTTCACTATCAAAATCATGTTGATACTTGGTGTCGAGCAAACATGAATCCGGACAAACATGCAGCATTAGACGGTGTCAATACACAGAGTGCAGAACAATGTTTCAGTTGGCTTAAATCATACGCCACCATAATGTCATCAATGGGACACAAAAAGTGTTCTATGTATCTACTGTTAATTTTTCATCTTAAGAATTGTGAATATTTGGAAATAAAAACAAATGAAACAGGGGGTTATCATGATGATAACCTTAAAGAGAAAATAAGTTGATTTTTCTTCATCAAATTAACGCTACTGCTTTTGAACATATATGTTTTTATTAAAATTACGCTTGAAATCAAGTTAAAACCATAATCAGCAAAGACATGAAAACAAATTGAGATATTCATATACGTTAGTGTCTGATATCCAACTATCTTTTATTTTTCGTGCATTGTTCTCTATAATGGGTGTCAAAATAATTTTGATTATGAAACACTATTATGTAGCGGACCTTGTTATGCCAATGAACCACTGTTAGGCAGTGTTGACTGGTTTGTAAATCTTTTTCTGCCAGTGCTCGTGATACCTATATTAAATTCTATACTAGTGGTAAGGATATTATGGAAAAAACGTCATATGAAACAAATGTTGACATGGAAAAAAGCAAAAAAAATGACGGTCCAATTATTATCTGTTTTCGGTCTCCATTTAATCATTTTTTTACCAGCCATCATAACTGGACTTATCCAGTTATTTTGGGTGCCAAATTTTTTAGTTGATGTTCAATTCACATATTTCTATGAAATGTATTATTTTATTCCATTGTTATTACCATTTATATGCTTGAGATCTTTGACAGAAGTATTCAAATCACATAACAGACGAAAAGGATTCACCACAGTTGGATTTGTAAATATCAATGGAGTTAGACTACTAGATTATTCAGCTCGACCTGAATAAATTCAATTAGAATCGACTGAACATTAGTCATAACGTGACTGAAATCTACGAAAGACTATAAAATAATCATTTATTTTGAGAACATCTCATCGAGAAGGCCTGTTATCTATGTGAAAATTATGAAGTCGAAACAAGTTACTACAATACTGAACAAGTTAGTGTTATCAGTCTTAAATCAGCTTTTTAATAATACCAGCAGAATCCATTATAAAATAACTAAATTCTTTTAATTTTCTCTAACTGCTCTGTATTCGTTGTTATTGAATTTTTTCTCTTCTCTGTGCTTCTGGCACCTCCTGTTTATCGACATCAGTTATGAGGTTCAATATACTTATTGTCTAGTTTCTGTCGACTTGAGAGTAATGCTGTTGGTCGCGATGACTGATCCAATCACACATCTCTATGTTCGATGTTTAGGGTTGCTCAATAGAAAGGATAATTTCACGGTTTCTAGAGATCAAATGCACATACAGTATTTACAGTGAGAATTATTCAAAACAGAAAGAAACCGTATATATATATATTTCCCTACTGACTGATTGAACTGAACTGAACTGAACTGAAATTTATTTCATCAAACACATGAAACCCACAAGAAAATAAAACACATGGCTGAAAGGAAAGTAGCAAAAGTCAAGAACTTATAATTATAAGACTACCACCATTGTATGAGTAGAAAAAAAGAAAATTGATTGGTGTATTGTACTCGTCAAGTGTTTTATTTCTTCGTATTCACGTATATTCTTCATCTACTCGGGTCGATCATTACTCTACTATTTTTGTTATTCTATGTCAGATGGTAAGAATATACGATTGACGGCGCTGAGCGAACTGATTTATTTAGACTAGGATTAATCAAAGCAACAGACAAGGTCTCTTTGATTAACAATATTCTGGTGTATTTTGAACGCTTAATCGAACACCTCAGCCTTTCAATGGAGAGTCTTTAGACAAGAATTGTGAATTACAATATCTTCCATGACAAACAATAATTGAATTGCAATTGTTTTAACTTTTCTTTATTTGATGTTCTTTAAGAACTTCACAAAAAAATTTAAAATTAAACTACAAAATTCGCTGATATGTAAATATATTTTATCCCGTTCTGTCTGCATAATATCAGTTTATAGTTTTCGAAGTAAATTAAGTTTGACTTTAAGATCAAACGCTGGACTAAATAGAAAATATTAAACACGAGAATACGAGTACCCATATTACGCTTGTTTATATAAAATCACGAATGCGGTTTAAGAATAACTTTGACGCAATTATCTTCCTTCTCGTTGAATATCTTGTACATTTCGGATGCCTTCTCCAATGGCACCGTATGTGTCAATACGAAACTCGGATCCAATGTGCCATTTTCAATCAAAGGTAATAACGTCGGCCAATACTTTTGACATGGTGTCTGTCCAGCCGCCATTCTCAACCCTTTTTCCATGAACGCACCAATGTTGAACCCATTTGCAGTACCGACGTACACGCCTACAATCGAAATCATCCCACCTTTTCGCACAGCCATGATAATTTCGTTCAAAACATCAGAAGGATCTGTTTCGAGACCGACAAGCATCTGAGCCTTGTGTAATATAGAGCGTGCATAATGAAATCCGACCGCTTCGATTCCAACATCGGGCCCGTTCGGAACCAATTCTTTAAGTTGTTCAAGGGTGGAACGTTTTGAAAAATTGATTGTTTCGATGCCAGGCAAGTGTTTCTTGGCATAATCAAGTCGATATTGTTCTTTGTCGATTAGAATCACACGACGAGCTTTCTTGTATAGCGCGGAGAGAGCGGCGAGCATGCTAAAATAAATAATTCAAAAAATCAAAAATTGTTTTTATTATTGAGACTGTGTTAAATTGGTTTAAAAAACATACCCGACAGGCCCACAGCCCCATATAGCGACAGTTTGACCTTCGCTCACTTCACCAAGTTCAGTAGCATGCCAACCCGTGGGGAAAATGTCGGAGAGAAATAAAACTTTCTCGTCGGATAGTGAATCTGGAACTCTTAGGGTATTTTCATCAGCAAATGGAACACGAACAAACTGTGCTTGACCACCATCCCAGCCGCCTGTTACGTGTGAGTATCCGAACATACCTATTAATAATGAGAAGAAGTATAATCTCCTTTATTCTCATCCAAAAGATAGAGTGTATATCAAAAAGTTGATAGCAGTCAGAGCCCGAAAGAAATCGAATGATTCTACTGCTTGCTGAACCGAATTTAATTTGGAAAACACGAATCAACCGCTCATTTAAAACGCTTCGGTCAAGCTAACGAGGGTATCTCATGATCTGTGACATCGCTTTTTCAGCCAAACCTAGCGGGTTATAGATTATCAACTATGTTAAATCCGAATATCATAGTGGTAGCTGCCCAAGAGAGCGATTTCTGGGAAATCAGGTTTTCAGAAACTCTGAAAAATAACCAAAACCTTTCTTAATGAGACACGATTGTAGCCCGTAAATTTCTGATTAAAATGAGACATCTCTCAGCTCTACAGGACCTTTCTTTGCAAAGTTTCAGAATTGAAAAAGCCATGTGACAGTTCACGAGATACCCTCGTAAGCTATAATGACATCGTATAAAGTAACAAAAGTACTGTATAATATAATTTTGTCCTTTTTCTCTGTTATAATGCTCAGAAATATATAATCGCGCTAGAAGGAGGAACATATAATATCTTTTACCGAGTTATTAAGATTACTAATCAAAGTCGTTTTCAAAGATAGAATTTTGAGAGCATCAGTATAACCGACATTCGCTTACTTTTTGATCATTAATGTTGAGGTCTTTTCCTATCTATTCATTATATTTTTACGTTACATTCTTCTCCTTGTTTGTTTTGTTGTATTTCATGTTTCAAAGTTCGTGTATGACTGATATGTTCTGTTCAAGTGTTCCAACTCGTGGCAGTACATTTTAAACAAACGTTTGGAAACAAAGAGAAGCAAGCTTTCATTTTCATTGAACTGGCCCGAATCCGGATTTGTATTGCTAATATTTCATAAAATATACCTTATCTTCGTAATATTTTATTTTATTTATTTACAATCAAGACGTTTCGATCGCCATGTGCAATCTTCTTCAGTAAAACATAAAATTAATAAAATAACAATATATAAAATGTATATATACAACAATTCCAATGCGCACAGTTGATGTCAAAACTGCAATGTGACAAATTCTTTTTTGTCTGAAGAATGTTTTACTGAAGAAGATTGCACATGGCGATCGAAACGTCTTGATTGTAAATAAATAAAATAAAATACTACGAAGATAAAGTATATTTTATGAAATATTAGCAATACAATTTATCTTACTTCGTATAATAAAAAGACCCTATTCAACTTTTAAATTTCCGAATTTGTTTCGGGCTCTGATAACAGTGGTACTAATCGAAATTAATTCAATGGAGTATAACAGTTTACATTCTCATACCTTAGAAACATGATTTCATTGCGCTTAATACTATAAAGACGAGAAAAACTGGTAAGTGAACACCAGAATTATCTAATACCATCAACTGTATTAGTCAATAAACGTTCATAAGCTAAAAATTCAATCCACTCATCTTTCAGCTCAGAGAATTTCCTACACACTCATCTACTTTTAATCACAAATTTTCACCAGTGAGATACAATAGAGACTAAATAATGCAAAAATTGTAGAAAAGTTCGACTAAAAATGATATTTCTAACATCTATCATAACTCTATTTTAACTCGACACAGATGCAATATGCAGGATCAACATACAAAACTGCGTAAGAAAAACTGTTTTTTTGATTTACAAGCAATTTCTGCCAAAATTCGGCTTGGTTTTTTTCAGCCTTTTAGTGCATGTAAGAGAACCAGAAGAGTAAAAACTTGTTTTCTCAATAAACAGTTTTCTAACACAATTTCTCATGTTCATCATCAACCTGTCATGTATTTTAAATGAAGTTCGTTGATATATGAAAATCGTGATTTTATGAGCTTACTTTTTATAGTTTTCTTATACTTGTGCTAATGCTAAAGAAACTAGTTTACTCTCAGTAAAAAAAATTCGATCAAACGACGTAAATAAAATAAATCAACCAATACAGCTGTCTCAAACGCCATTTTGTTCTTTCATGGATTTATAGAAACTCTTAATTATGATTAGCACGGTTAGACATAAGTTATTTATGCTTAAAGTGGCGGTTACACTGCAAGTTAATCGAGATTAGAGATAATTGTAATTAAGAGCATCGTGTAGACGTGGTAAAAATGCTTTTACGATTGCGAAAATTGGGTTTCCACTGAGATTTCAGATGAAAAATTCAATGAATATCATCGAGAAATTCCAACATTAATAACCGATGCTACCGATTTTTTCATGAATGTGCGACTTGAGAATAATGCGCTTGGGTATGATCCTTTAAAACTATCAAAATATATCCTATGATTCTAAACTGATCCAGTTTCCGCTAAAATTCGAATGAACAACGGTAGAGTAACGATTCATTATAAAGACAGGATCCCAATAACATACAATCGTACAATAAACTGACAGTTCACTCTCAATAACATACCTGACGTTCTATGTCCATACAATAACTCCTGCTCTTTCGAATCATTGGTGTTATCACAACTTGAGAATAATTTGTGATCAGTACAATAAAAACATTTATGGCAGCCAATATCGAATGCTGTTACA